GCTACATAGGCGTGCGACACATGTTTTATGGCTTATTTTTCACGCCGAATCCGATGGTAATGGTTATATGTGACCCCAAGTCACTGTGCTGGTGATAAATGTGCATTGAAAGCATAAAAATTGTTTATACCATACGAGGGCTGAGAAAAAAAGGTCAATTTTTCAACTTTTTATTTTTGACATAAAAATGCACTTTTCTAGACGAACTTTGTCCCAGGAATCTAGTGGTGCCATTTGTTTTCACATGCGATGTTCAGAAGTACCTCTAATTCACGAAAATGCTTATGACGTCACCATGCCCTATGCATGTTGGAGCTATTTTTTACAATTTGGGGGTCAAAAATCAAGATAGAAAGTTGAAATTTGGGACATCTAATGTTCTAATAGATCTCTATAACATTTATTCCGGTTTTTTGGAAATTCTCAAAATTTTGGATTTTATTAGCTGTTTTCCAAAAAATGTAGTTTTTTGAATTTTTAGGGGTGAAAAACGCATTTTAAGGAAAATCCGAGATAGCCATTTTAAAGAACTCGTTGAGCTGCGTCTATTCATGTCCTTAATTTGCAATTTGCTTCAAACCCTGATTTTTGGCGATTTTTTAAACATTTACCACTTTTTGACTCAAAACGCCGTGTAGTTACATCACTAAAATCGATATATCTCAAAAAAATTTTGAAAATTTTTTCTTAAAAATTACACAGAACACGTCAAATTGATGGGGGAGAAGGTATGCCAAGTTTTAAGTTGATAGCGTAAGCGGTTCTTGAGTTATTCAAGAAAAACGGAGGGGGGGTCGGATCCGACCCCCCCCCCCCCAGGCGGTCGCGGGTTAAGGAGAGACTCAACTGACGTATATTCAAATAACTGAGGTAATGTTAAAACGTCGATCTGTACCATGACCTGACCTGAAGTGACCTGACCTTAGAGCAACACCATACAAGGTCAAACTATTCTCAAGTTGTTGGGCATTCATCTCTCGCAGTTCTCCCAGCTGCATATCAACATCAGCTATATTATGCTACGTCGCTATGCTAAATTTAGAGTTGATTGTAGAACGGAGCTCGAAATAGCGCACAGAGAATGAATGGATGTTACGAGTAGTTCGGTTTATACTTTATACTCGTACACACAAAGGTCAAGCAAGTTTGCAATGTAGGGTTTAAAGATCGCAGTGCTCGTCTTGACAACAGACTGTTTGGCCCAAACATTCACTAGATTGTAGGAACAGAAACTAGTTTTCGGCAAGAAAAGATCAGTGACCGACCACCATTCTTTTCGAAGGAGCTTTTAAAAGAACATAACCGGTTTTATCTTACGCAAACCCACGCATTAGAAACGAAAGTCTCGATTGCTCAACATACTACCAAACAAGGGACGAAAACGGAAACAGTTTTCACTCTTGCTGATCCTCTTATCAGAGGATCATTGCAAACATTCACGTCCTTACTGTCAACCACTGGACACTTCAGCATATCCGCACGCTAAAGCCACGTCTAGCACGAATTCCTTCACGTTTACTCTCTTGTTCTAAAACAAATCTGTGCGTGAGTGCCTCTAGCGTCGCTCAGCGAACAAAGCGTTCCGCGTCGACCACCCAGCTAATAACGCCGGCGCCTGCGGCCGACCAGGTGTGGTGGGCAGATGGTCGTGCCCGGGGGCACCCCGCACGCGGCAGTCGCCTGTTGTGGTGCCTGCACCCAAGGTCAAGATCAGGGCCACTGACACAGCCCAAGGTCAATGTCGTCTCACCGTGCAGGTAAGCTGCACGACGGGTTTTAGTTTGCGCAAGCTGACAACATGCTGGGTGGGGAACAGGAATTAAGGAGGGGTGGGATGGTGTGCATCCGGGGATTGGTTGGGAATGAAAATATGCTACAGCTGGTAGGGCTTACCACGTGGTAATGAATTCAACTGGTACGAGGAAGGTAAAACTCTTGTGCTGGCCTGTTACGCGACCCACGATATAGATTTAGATACACCATCAGTAAAATAATGCATATTGCTTCATAAAACTTCCTTAACCCTCGCCCGCACATGCCATTTTCCCATCCTAGAACGCACATGGGGGGGGGGGGTGGTTGCCACCCCCCCGCGCCATTTCGTTCCTGTTGGAGATAGAGCTTAGCGGTAAAGACCAAAAAGATTCTTTGGGAAGAGACGAATCCAATGATACCCAGTTTTACCTTCTCAGGTCAGTCATTGACCTTCCAGGTCAGGTCAAACTAAAAAATGTTGCTGTTTTGTGTCACCGTTGGATATCAAGTGCGCTGCTTATCATATACCGATAACGATGCTGTTTTCTGGTGCCAAGCCAGCTAGAACCTCTTTCTCACACTACCCGACCAGGTTTTTGCTGCTGAGGTCATTTCAGGTCAAGTTAGGTCAAGGTCAATTATATGTGTTTGTATGTCTGTGTGTGTCTGTGTGTATACTGATGTGTGCACCGATTGTTTATGTGTCCATATTACATGAAATCATGATCTGAGAAGCTTTTACCAAAAATGCAGTCAAAAAACTTCACAAAAAGTAAATTCCGCTTGCCTAAAACGCAATTATCTTAGATGACCTAGGTTGACCTTGACCTTGACCTTGACATCTGTACATCGTCGAACAACATGTTCCATGATGGGTGGGAGGTAAGACTGGTAAAAAAGGCCGAAATCAAGGTGTCAAAAGCTCACAAGGCCCATAGCCAACGCAAGATGTCGAGAATTGGCCATTTGGGTCATGACATGACCTGCAAAACAAGGTCATATCTCCGAAACCAAAGGTCACAGAAACTTGAAATTTTCAGTGGACATCAAGAAAGGATAGAGGAGCAGCTATACGAAAAATCAGCCTTCTAGCTCTAAAAATGTTGAGTACAGAGCAGAAAGACTACCTGGGGGGGTGGCAACCACCCCCCCCATGTGCGGGCGAGGGTTAAAACTTCTTCAACGCCTTTCGACAAAAAGCCGGGTACATTTCCATCTCTGGTGAATGATACTGTCTCACGTCTTTATAGCCGCACGTATAGATCTATGCAAACATAACCATCGCATCACTCGAGCCATCTTCACACCCAAAATGGAACAGAAAGCAATCAGCAACACTGAGGATTGAATCAGCCACTCCCATTTTTTCTGGCAACCGGCGCATCGCGGCCTAACCTGCTTATTTCCGTTCATTTTGTCCGTAGAGACGAACGAATAAATTTCGGGCCATCGCTGGCTCCCCGATATATAGGTGGATACGAAATTGAAACTGGAGGCGCTCAGGCGCGTAGGAGGAATCGTATCTGCATATTCGTCGAGCGCGACGGACTGAGGAGGCCAAATAGACAGGCCGGCGAGATATTGGCGGGGCGACCCGATGGGGCGCGGCGCACGCGCGCGCGAGCATTTTCGTCTTGGGGTCGTTGGGTTGGATTGAGAGGGTCGCTAAGCCAAGAAATAGGGATGCAAGTGGGCGATTGACCCCATAAAGATGACTAGCTTTCCGTATGTGGGGTGTCAACAAAATATCATTGCAAACTGTACGCTTGTTGGGATGTTTACAAGATATTTACAGATATCTAAAGATATCTACAGACATCCTCTTGACGATAGCAATAAAGGGAGAGTCGAAGATTGATCAAATTATCACAATGTTAAGTTGCACCATGAATAAATCCTACTTAAGGTCTTCCACATATGTATGAGAGTTTCTTTCCTTGCGACCATCGTTGCTTGTCTGTATACTGAGCTCGAGCATGCATATCGAGCACTAGCGCTGGTAAAGCTAATGAGGTGCAATGAAAACAGAAACACCTCAAATATCAGTAGCAAGAAACCAAACACGGGGCTAACATTCGGCTCTCAAACTTCACAGACTGTCACGGGCAGCTATTTTCCCAGCCCTGACATCGCAGATGCCTTGGCGAAACTTTGTCAAATTGTAATTTTAACTTGGAAATTATACTCTGAAATTAAATTTGCCCTCTGATATGCTATTAGATAAGAAGTCTGGCTAGCGTTCCTATGCGAGAGTGAGCAAACTCTATAGTTACCAGCCTGAGCACATAGTTCGTGTGATATTCTTAGCTTCACTCAGAACCTTTGGCGTAACATGAAGCAGCTTGCCAAAGTTTGGCACTGCATGGTTTACAAATATTTAACGTCGTTGCAGCGACACTTGCTGAAATGACCAAAGATGTGTCTCACCTTTCCAAACACCTAGCATAGTCACGTTCCAATCTCAATGTATCTGAAAATATCTAAGACGACCTTTCTTCAAAAGAAAAGAGGTTGGATTTCACAAATGGAGCCTCGCATTTGAAAAACATATGTGTTTTCACATTTCGGCGATTTATTGGAAAATATTTTTCATCCCTCGCGTTGGCATATCCCACATCTATTTACCTTACTCCTATCACTGCCCTCGTCACCAAGCCTCAGGTGGTTCAAATATTTACTCAGGAGACGAATCCGGCGCAATTTCGGCACACCCGGCGCGACCGTGACAAACCTGCCACAACTTTGACGCGATGCATCAGAGACGTGCAATAAAACAGCGCACTCTGACAGATTTCTGGGACAAGTTTGGCTAAGGCTGCCGACGCAATCGTAGAATGAGATTAAGCCTGGTCTGACGCGAAATGACACAAACTGCTGCAAAATGCTGACCTGTGGAGCTTTACAGCTAAAGACCAAAGGATCGCTGAGATGGAGAAAGAACGGTGCGGTGAAAATGAAATGATCGGTTAAGCCTTCATTTGTCGCATATTTCATTTGCCTTCAGTAAATAAAAAAAAATGTTTAATATCTGTGGTTTAATAAGAAAAAAAAAATCCTGGTTGAACATTATGTTAATAAGGCAACGATGTAGAGTTTGTAAGAATATGTAACTAATTATTAAACTCTCCCTCTTGCTCTCTGTATTGCTCTTTCATCCCATTTCTTTCTGTTTTTCTCTCTCATTACCCTGATCTGTCGTATCCAATCATCATTTAAGGAGGGGCGGAGGGGCTTCCCAAACTCACCAAAGGCTGTGATCCAAAGTATGCAGTGTGAATTGCAGACACCTGCGAAATAAAAATAAGGCTGTTAGTAATCATCCACAGTTTCCACACCTTCAGACCTAGACTGGCCATATCTCAATGATATTATCTTTCCCTTCACGACTAGCCCGATGGGAATTATTCTGTCACGAATGATCTAAGCACATCTGGAATTTGAATTCATGTTCAAAGTCGTGGATCTGCTATTGAAATCTCATGGACATCTCCTTCAGCATGTATCAGCGTTACATATTCTTTGTTGCCGTCATACAAAGTCATGGTTAGAAGTCTCCAAAGGTAAAAAACTAGATGAAGATTTTCACCTTTGTGTTCTTTTTATATTGATTGAAAGAATGATAATTATTCAATATTCAGATCGTCCTGACATTTATATAAGCCCCTGAGTCACAAATGAACAAGATCAACATGAATCAATGATAGTAAGCATTCCTAACAACAACACCTTCATATTATCTTCTCCCGAACATCGATGCCACAACAATCGTTGTGATCCAGCGCAGCCCAGGGCAATCGATCCATCCCATACGGACGGGTGCTAATGGTTGATGAGCTGGGTAGAGATATAGAGGTCTGGGTAGATGATGAGGGCAAGGCTGTTGGAGGTTTAGTCATACGAGGATATATTCTTAAATACGCTGGAGTAGAGCGAGAATGACGGCTAGAAAGCTTCATGAAGTCAGTGTTCAGCGTTGAGCTCGTACTATGAAGAAAAATAGATTGATAAAAAGAGAAAGGGGAGATAGATATGTAGAGAGAGAAAGAGCGAGAGAGAGAGAGAGAGAGTCAGAGAGAGAGAGAGAGACAGAGAGAGAGAGAGAGAGAGAGACAGAGAGACAGAGAGAGAGAGAGAGAGAGAGAGAGAGAGAGAGAGAGAGAGAGAGAGAGAGAGAGAGAGAGAGACAGAGAGAGAGAGAGACAGAGAGACAGAGAGAGACAGAGAGACAGAGGGACGGAATAAGGAGTGCACGGAAACCAAATAATCGGTCTCGAAGACAGATTGAGAGAGCAGTCACAGAATCATCAGCACACTATCAGTTCTGCAGACAGAGGAAAAAGAGGGAGAAAGGGAGAGAGAGAGAAAGAGAGAGAGAGGGGGAGAGGGAGGGAGGGAGGGAGGGAGCTAGAGAGAGGGGGAGAGGGTCAGCCTGGCGAGAGCAGGGAGCAATCCGACAGGAGGAGCGCCGGCAGATGGAGGAGGCCACCGGTCGCCCCATTAGACGATGAGCCTACACCTAATGACCCACCGCGGCTCGCATTTCCCTCCTTTCCACTTTCCACCCCTCCCTCCCCCCAGTTCTCCCCCACCCCGCCCCTCATGAGCTGATGCCCCCGGGCGATTTCCTGTCAGGATTCTTTCCATTGTGGTGAGATGGAGCGGTGACTGCTGCTTCTTCGTGTGTGATGGGATGTGCGTGTAGGGAGATATTTAGCGTGGGTGAAATACTGCGCGAGGTGTCCAAAAACGTGTGTAGATCATTAGTGGTGATGAACCGGATGGTTGTGACTACAGTTTATCTTTTAATCTAAGCCAATTATACAATATACATACTAGCTTATACTGATCTTTTGGCTAAAAGCCATTATTTAATCATCGTTCCAAAATTTTAAAATGTTACCAACAAGCATTTAGAGGGCTTAAAATAAAACGACAGCTTCTATATACTGGATTTTAGGCACGTGTTAATCGCCACGCCAGGAATAAACTTAACCCGATCATGAAAACCCCCTGGTCTGATCAGCTCACTGCGCAAGTTCGCCTAGAGTCACCACCATAAACGTCTTCCTGTGCCATCCGAACAGCGAGCAGCCTCCAGAGGCTAGCGATGAAACCAGAGAACACATCGTATAGCTTACAGTACACAAACAGAGCTCCATTCCCAGAGGGCATGAGTTGCACGCGTGAATGCAGCGGTTATCACCGACTGCAGGGGCTGGGGTTGTCACTGGCACACCCATAAGTTAGGTACTTGCACAGTTTGACAGTGGAGGGTGGTTTCAGGGTGGGTGTTCTGGCGACTGGGGTGGTCTGGTGAGGAAATAGTATAGGGGGGGGGGGATATAATGGATGTGGAATGTTAGGATGGGATTGAATGGGATGCGTTCGGATCCCATGACATGAGATTGCGTTGGACTCAGACTTGTAAACGATTCAAAAAAAATCAATCGATTCAATCACGACTCACTTGATGAAATGACCGATTCAATCATAACTCAATCAAACAGTCTGATTTTCCAAGCGATTCAGTCACGACTCATGGACCCTGTGATTCAACTCAATCACGACTCATCCCATTATCAGTGATTCAGGGAATGACTCAACTCATGATTTAACTCAACGCGATTCAATCAAGATGTTATCTAAAATTTATACATATGTGATATCAATTTAAGTCATTTTTGGAAACTGATACCAAACAGATGCCAACCAAATACACTAAGAAAATACCAAAAATCATAGAAAAGTACTAAATCTATACTGAACTCAACAAGGTTGTAGATATTTATATAAATACGGTGTAAAGATGATAATTTAAGTACAGAAAAGACAAGCTCTGTTACAAATGAAGCTACCAGAGGACTTATAAAAATTCATTTATCTGCTTGGCACTTGCAAAAAGAAACATGCAAAATTGCACACACATATTATCAGCATCATCGAAAAGGAACAAAATTTGCAAATCAATTGTGATACCCAAACTTAAATAGCTGGTGATCAGCCATGCAAAAAAAAAATATTGATTGATACTTTATGAAGCAGTGGTAAAGCCAGTAAAGCATTACACAGGACTAGACATTTTCGGCGTGCTACAAATTTTCTTTACTATCAAGAATACGGAATATCGACACATACGAAGTTGTTCAATAGTTACATACTCAACCATCCATATTTTCAATGACAAAATAACAATTCCAAGCCCGCCCCACGAGACACGCGGCGGAGCTGAGTTGCAAGTTGTAAAGGCCTGGCTACCAGGACGCGTTTTCTGCGTGCGTTTTTTGCTTTTGCGAGTTTGCGTGATTTGCATAATACGGTTCTAGAAGGGAACGATATAATGTTTTGTTTTTGTTATATTTTATAAAAAAATAATAATTGAATTATCATAAAAGGTTTTATTAACGTTTATATAATATACGCAAAACATGCAAGCTCGCAAAAAACGCACGCAGAACACGCATAGTGTAGCCAGGCCTTTAGTACTGAAGTACGCATGCGCTAAGTGGGCAGCCATCTTTAATTTAGCAGCAGAACCATGGATTACTTAACTATATAAAATACATAGTTTATATTTTTAGATTCAATTAAGCATATTTATGCATGCGTGTAAAACAGTTTTTTATCCTGTCCAATTCATTAAAGAAAAAATATCCAACAGTAGAAATCTAAATTGGTTTGGCGATATGTATTTAGCCCAGCACTAGGCAGTTGCAGCGTATATTGACGCAGCTGCGACATAAAAGCGTATTTTGCGTGGTTTGCATGTGGCAAATATTGCGAGCAGTCTGGCAAATCTCTAATCCGAATTTAGCATCGAATGCAAAACTGTTAGCGCCGCGGTCCTCAAAACTAGAAGGTGAAGAACACCAAACGGATAAAGATTGTTTGCTGAGCTATGAAAACAATAGTTTTTGGGTGATGGTGGAGGTGATGGGAAGGTGGTTGTTTTTTAATACCTAGTAGGGTATGTATCTACTTTTTGCCATTGTATCTTTACTTTTGTGTAATTGGGAGCCACCACGGCAATATGTGACAGATCCATCAACGCTCATAAGCCAAGGTATTCCAATTATTTACGTTGATAGGTAAACGCTGATTCTGCTGGGAAATGTAAAGTGAGTGAGAAGACCATGGGTTAGATCAAGCAATATACGCAGTTCACAATCAAATCGTAGCCCAATATCATAATACGTAGCCCAAAATCAAATCAGTAACTAAGGTTACCAAATTATAATGTAAACATGCATTGTGTATTCATCAATATGTTTTGCTTACTCACAAATGTCCTGATGAAAAAGGGTATTGAAAATATAAAGATTAACATGCTATCTAAAACATGTGTGTTGACTGTTGAGCAATGTGCGCCTGCTTACTGCTACTGTTAACTTGATTACTATACTGATTTTAGGGCACTGGAAAGAAACATTACATTCATTTTTCATCTACATGCACTGACATTTATGCATAATTTGTGTTTACAGTTTGATTAAAAACTTAAAACAAAATTTTTATGTTTTTTTCAATAATGATAGCTGTGCGCATTTATTATACTGACAAAATACCTAAAAATTTTGCAATGCATTGTGTGTGACTATGATGCAAATGCCACATATATTTCTACATAATATAGTACTAAATATGGTCATAACTTCAATTTCCAGCACATGGTGATTGAATCATTTTGTTAATTCAATCAACTTGAATCGATGAGTTGCCGATTCAATCACTTGCAGTTGCCGTGTGTGACCGATTCAATCAGGATTCATATGGTGACAAGAGGTGATTCAACCGACTCAATCACAGTGAGTCGGCATTTTCAAGCGATTCATGAGAATCGATTCAATCAGAGTTGAATCGCTTACAAGTCTGGTTGGACTTTTGTTGAATGGTTAATAACGAAATTGCGATTTTAATTTCAGCAAAGTCAAAGTCACAACCAACAATAGGCTTCGACTGTGTCATGAATGTTTCTTTATGTAAGAGCAAAACCAGGATAAACAAACGCTGAAGCTTGTTATTGTTTATAAATGTCGATGTAGAAAAACGGCGTAGCCATGTGACACATAGCATAACACGCAAGAAAACTGGAAACACACATAAGATCATCAGCGTGTTTTTGTAAGATGACGTCACTCAACTCAACCATGATGTCACTCGAACGAGCAAATAAATAATTTTCACGAGGTTTGCCAAGGGGCATGAGAAAATTTTACATAACTATTTGGTTGACGTCACCATCAAGATAAAAAGTGCACTCACTTTTAAAGTGGCAGTTGAGGAAAAGGTA